GTTCTTTAAGCACATTTACATTTTACCAACAGAAAGTTGAAACATTGATTGTTGTTTAATAAACTCCAGTTGAACCACAGATACCAAGCAAAGATGATTTCTGTGCTCTGAAACAATGTTTCTTCCCCCTCTACACCCAAATGTTTTCCCCTAACAGTTTATTCTTTCCTTTTCTCTATGTAAATATTATGGGAATCTGATGTAAGTGTTACAGATTGCATGAGTTTTCTTCTGAGGTGTTTGGAATAGACTAGCGCTTAACAACTTAATCATTTGTGGGATATGTTTTCATTAACGGTTGACTTTGTGGATGTGATTAGACTTGTTTGCTTTGACTGCACTTGACTTCAGCTTTGAAAAGGATGTCTGCCTCTGTTTTGTGGCTCTTGGGCAGTGTGTGCTGGTGTAGTTGGCTGCTCCTAACTTCTTGGTTTGGCAATGAAAACTGTTTGGAAAGTACATGACTTGGGTTGATGTCTTTTGGAAATGATGGCAAATTTATCTTTGTTGCAGGGAAAAGAAGCTGATCACCATCGTATAATAAATATCACTTCTCTTGCTCTTATTAATTGTTGTGCAAACCTCTTTATATGAATTATCCCCTGGAAAGGCTTAGCTTTGGAATGACTTTATCTTCAGCTACAATAATACAATACCTTGCTCCTGGCTTGTATGGTCAGTGACTGTGGTTTTCCCCATTGCTCCCAAGGAATTACAGTGATGGGAGGAAAAAGTATTGTTCCCAGAAAAATAAGGGGGAGGGGTCCAGCTTCTCTCAAAGATATTGGGGTGCTTGATTCCCATTGTAACTGTATTAAGTGTCCAAATTTTTCAGAGGATCTAGATCAAAGTCATTTAGTCATTTGTAGTTAGAATGGACGAGGTCTTGACCTCTGTTGTATCCATGAAAATCCATAGGAGTTACTCAGGATTTACACAGCAGCATAGACCAGAGCCTGAACCAGAGAGGTTGCTGAAAAAACCCAGCACACTACTGAATCCCATTTGCTGCTGTAGAAAGTTTTGCAAGTGAGATTTCTTAGCCCTTGTAGAATCACAGGGATTAAAGATGATGACAGGCTGGCCCTACATTCCCTTGTCTGTGCTGGGTTGTTCCCTGTTGTGTATTTAATAGCTTAGATCCCAACTCTACAGAGCACTCGAATGTCTACTTTAACTTGAAATATGCTCAGCCTCAGAGCTTCTCACACAATGTGTTGGTTATATCAGTTTCCTTGGAAGGAATTAGGATAGGATGATAGGAACTGGAATTAAGGGGTCCATTTCCTTAGACTGTTTACAGTCAGATTCTATCTTGCCTTAGTGAAGAGAAGAGTGTAATCTGGTCTGGATAATGAAAAGATGTTTGCAAGAGGTGGCAGCAGCAGCTTTCATCCTGGCACACCAGTGTATCTCCTATTTCTGAAGTGATTCTGCCACTCCGCACAAAGGTGTGGACCCATAAATGTAAGAGATGGAGACACCCGAAGCACAGCCCGCTCTGAGATGGGGAGCGAGAGTCTCCCAAAGATGAGAGAGCCAGGAGAGTCGTCTGGTTTATGGTCCATGCTTTTACACAGCCACCTCCTGGCTGTGACGTGGTCCCTGGGGCTGTCAGCTGCTTCCCTGGAACAGCACACACTGCTGGTTCTGCCACTCTGGGGACGTCTGATCGTGGCCTGAGGCCCCACAGCCTTGTGTCCTAAAGACCGATATTAGAAACACACAGGAGGTCACCTGAGGCCAATTGCTGTCCTCCAGAAGCATGGGCCAACCTTGACAACATGTTTTACTCCTCAGTCTTTACCTTCTCCATAAACAAACCTTGGTGTCCCAGAACCCATCCATTCACTTAAAGACTCCATCTCATTTCTCACTAATTCCTCGCATGTGTGCTTATTATTGTGGTTAATCCCCTGCTTTACATTTTCTCCTGCAGAGGACTTACTCTGTGGGTGTAGGAAAATTAGGTTTTTATCCTGTCATCACCCTAGTCACAAAAAAAAAAAGAAACCTACTTCAGAGTTGGTGGTCATGCAGCAGCAGCCCTTCGGTGATGAGTTGCTTCCAGTCCCACAACAGTGTAATGCTTCCACAAATGTGGGACAAAGTCTAGCACCCCAGATCAATATGAGGTTTGGCTTCCCCACAATGCAGATGTCCTCCCCAAGGCAGGATGGGCAGGGAATCCTCCCTTTTTGCTCCGGGTCTCAAAGAAAGGACTCTGTGTATTCGAGATCTGCTCTCATCAGTGGTCAGAAATGTAGTGGAAAGGCCTGGCTTCTTCCCTTTTCCAGTTCAGTGAGGCTGAAGCAAAACTGGTTCCCATTTGGCTGGTTTTCAGTGCCTCACTCACAACAAGGTGGAGCAGGGGAGAAGAGGGCGTCAGCCCAACTTCCAGTGGACTTCACTGAGCTCTCAGCCACTGGGGCCAGAGCAGTAGGTGCCAGCTTGGAGGCTGAGCTTTCCTCTTGATCTGCACGGAAGCAGCTCCAGGACGTGGATGTGACGCTCAGGCTGACGGGGAGAGCGGAGGAGCCTGCGGGAAGCTGTGCCTCTGCTCTGCCTGCTGCGGAGACGAACGGCGCAGGTGGCAGCTCTGCCTGGAGATCTTTTTCACCCAGCACCCAATTCAAGCCAGAGAATGATAATGGAGAAAGCAATGTACACTGGAAAAACATGGGATTCATGGGAGCATTATCAAGGCTGACAGTTCCTTCCGTCTCCTTTTGCAGCAGAGCGGCTGGCTGTAAGAGAAAGGGAGTAGGGCACATTTGCCTGATCCTGTGTGCTCTCAGCTTCACAGCTGGTGTCTCTGCACTCTGGTCACTAAAAGCTCTAATTCTGCTTCTCCAACACCCCTCTGTCCTGTCCCATTCAAAGTCCTCCTGTACCTGGGGAAAGCCCTGGTCTCCTCACAGCGGCACATGACTGGAGGTGTGTTGTTGGGCCGCTGTACAAACCTCAGTGAGGCAGTTGAAAAAAGTCTTGACCCACTTTTACTATCTGGAAACAAACTGCCTAAAGTCCAGCCCGTAGTCCACATCTGGGGGACCTCTGGGAAAGAGGGCAGCTGGGAGAAGTCATATAAATTGGTGTTGGGGGCAGTATTTGGCCTCCAGGCTGCAGATTTGGGCATGCTTGTTTCAGGCTTTGCTCAACAAACAGCATTTAAACCAAACTTGACTCCATTTTTTGTTGGCTTAGAGAGGCACCAAGAACCAGCTTCCACATCCAAGATGGCCTAAGCTAGGCTCTTCCTGGGTAGCTCATTTCCCAAGTGGAAGGATAAAATAGCAATTAAAGTAAAATGTTGCTGTACTGCTTTGCCATGTGGTCTAGAGAACATTTTTTTCTCCCCACAATGTAGTCTTAACGCTACATTCATATATAGAAAAAACCCAATTCATCATTATCCTGGGCCTCTCTGCAATGTGACTATCAGCATTTTCAGTACAGCTGGGAAAAAAGTCAACTTCCAGCTCTTCCTGGAAGCCTGCAATGGTGTCTTCCAGCCTGCCCATGCAAATGGTGATAAAGGGATAAAAACACAGGGTCAGTGGCCAGAGGATGGTGTACACTGCTCTCTGGAGCAGCAGCCTCATCCTGTGGGCTGAACGCAGGGGCTGAGAGCGTTTAGCTGCTGACTTGAATTTGGCACTGGAAAGAGCCCCAGTGACCTGCTTGTGACTCATGGTGTTGCTGTAGCCAAATCACTTCCCCTTTGTCTCTGTTGCCCAACTGAAAGAACTGTTGGAGAATTTAGTTCTTCTGTGCTTTAAAGATCTAAATGGATTAGTAAGTATTAGATGTTTAAGAATCCTCTTTGGTTTTAGTCTTTGGTCTAGCAGTCCTACAGTCAAGCTGAGACAAGCACAGAGCATTATTTCTATGTATGTTCATTCAACATCCTAAGTATAAAGCCAATAATTGTGGTTAATGCCATCTAAACAGCAAACACTTCTGCTCCTGACATGTTTCAGAATGAAAAAAGCCTAACGGTCAAACAGAGAAGGCTTCAGCCCTGCTGATACGGAACTCTCTGTTGAGATGCAGGAAGTTTGGTCACACTGGATGTCCTCTTCTGCACCTCTTGCTTTGGACTGTCCATTAAAAATACCGTCTTGCTTCACTGTCTGGATTTAAGCAGCAAATGGATTGTGTTCTGCAGCATGACCAACCCCACAGAGACTGTGCTGTAAGTTACAAGGATAAGAAGCAGCAAGCAGGCAGTAATGGTCTGTAGACATCGGGCCATAATCTGTCTTCAGATCCGTCAGTGGAGTTAATGCTCCATAAGATTTACTCCAGAGTGACAGAAGAGAGACCTTTCCCAGCTCTGGTCTTGCAGCAACACACCCACTTGCTGAGGGTCCATTCAATGCCTGGTTAAGCTTTTGGTTAACTTCAGTGGATCTTAGACTGGGTGCTTGGCTCGAGCTCTCTCAGCTTCAAGTCTGTTAATGCTCTGCTTCATATTTCTGCATCCCAGGCAGCTCTCTCTATACTGACCAGAGGGCTTCAACAATCATTCGATGTCTTCTAGAGGACACTCCTGGAAGCAGTAGATGCAGGAACTAAGTATGGAATCAGCAATTCAAGAAATCAGCTATTTTATTTATCCCTGAACCAAACAGCAAAAAAAAAATCTCCTAGAATCAACCTCCAGAACATCAAAGGCTGTGAATTTAGTCTCAATTCTATGTAGAATACTCGAAATAAAGCTTATAATGGCTTCATAAACAAGAGCCTTTTGATTTCTAACCCTACAACTGCTATTACTTGAGTGTGATGTGTGAACCTTCTGTCTATTAATCCCTGGAAGATGCATGGTTTTGCAGTGAGGTGGAATTTGGCAGAGTGTGAATCAAACCATCACTGATTTCCTCATCCTTTGTTTTCACGTTTAGACTGTAAATGGCCGTGTTAAATAGGTGTGGACAATAAGTATGAAAAGTCACCTGAAGCAAACTCTGAAACAAAAAGTTCTGTGTTCTCAGATGATGAAGAGAATGATTCACTGGATTGTGCTTCCATGAACAAAAGGCCCAAAAAGAAGGATCGACCCCTTGAGGTACTTACACATTGTCAAGGCTCCTTCTATGACATTCCTTGAGTCTTCAACTGAATGCACATCTCTGGTCTGAAAACACTGAGTCCAAACAATACATTTCTGGTCTCTCAAGGCTGGGTCTTACTATGGGTTCACTCACTTTTCTGCATGTGTGGATTTCCTGAAAGAAGTCTGAATTCATGCCTGTGGAGATAAGAGTTATATGGGGCTTCAGAGTTGGATCTGAATTGTGGAACTTGGATCTAGCTCTAAACCACGTGCTAATGTGGAGGTGTTTGGGTGAGAGGATTTGGATATCAACTGCTAGTTGATTGTGCATGTCTGTAGAAGAAAATGTATTCTCACTCCCAAGGCAGGTTAGTTGGGGTGAGAACAGCCAGCGCCCACAGCCAGAGCACTCACAGTTCAGACCAGATTCCCACTCACTTGACTTTACACCTAGCCAAACCCCACTGCAACCAGTGGCAGTCCGTCCTCCATGAATTTGACATGTTTTTGAATCAGGCACTGTATTAACAAGTATGCTTTAAGTTGCTTCATGGGAACAAAAGAACTAAAGGAGATGCAGATCTCACACTGTGGTTTGCCAGAAACAATATTAGCAACACTTTGTTGTGGAGGAAATAAAACATCCATGGGAGATGCTGTAGGCAAAGACTCCTTCCAGATTTGAGGGGGGGGGGTGGAGCCACAGTCAGCAGCTCTCAGATTCTAGCTGGGAGATCTCCATCGTGGGGGAGCTGGGTTTGTTCCACCCTCCCCTTGGCTCAGTGTGAGGGAGCAGGAGTCGTGTGGTTTGGTTAGCAGTTGTATGTCCTTCTGGCGGGTTGTCCTACCTCTTGGGGGCTCTCACCAAAAGCTGGGCTGCTCTGTTCTTACTGTGGAAAGGTGCAGCCTCTCTAGCTACTCTCAGAGCTGTCTAGTGGCCTTCCAAAGGAGGCAGAGCTCTTCATTCCCGATTTAAGAGTCTTTAGTGTACATTTAATGGCTGCTTTGCCTTTAGAGCTGTTTGGCTTCCCGAAGAGCAGCTGTACCCCAAGCTGCAGGAGGTACTGCTCTAGTCATCTGGCTGTGCCCCAGGGCTCCTGCTTTACAGATAGAGACTCTGAGCCAGCAGCTATGGAGCCTGGTGTGGTGCAGGATCCTTGACTGCCATGTCTAGCAGCTTTCTTCCTCAGCTCTTCTCCAGCTGTACCTTTCTGGGTGCAGCTGTCCCATCCAGGTCTGTTGTGATTTGGGGGATTCACAGTGGGGACTAGAGGTAAGATTTTAGGTTTGGAAAATGGGGTGAAGTGTTGGATGAATCCCATTTCTGCAAGAAACTACTTTGGTTTATGAGCAAGCTAGAAGAGATGGAGATTCAGATGGAGTCTAAACAAAACCTCACCATGCTGCAGTTCCTTATCTATATGAATACCTTGCTGCATCACGGGAATGTGGAAATACAACATGATCTTGGGTTTGAAAGTCCTATAAAATAGAAATTACAGAGTCCTCACCAATGGTAAGATCCTGTCAGAGTCCAGAGTTCTTACAGGTAAATAGGTTGATGCTGCTAAAGAAAAAAAAGCTTTGGATACTTATGTAAATGGAGTGGAATTGCTTACCAGGCCTTGCAGTGTTACATGATGCTATGACAGGCCTCCACACTGAGAATTTGTGCTCCTCTGCAACATCTGGTAAACATTTCTTTTTGTGAAACTCGTAAGACACAATGACATGCCAGAGCTTTTCTAAGAGAAGTATGCATTGCAGATTAGGGTGGCTTTTGTTGTTGTTTTTGGTTTGCTAGTCTAACTAATTTCTGTCTCAGTCTGGAGAACCGGGTTAATCACAGTAAACCAGTTTCATGGAGTTGGTCTGGCTCCTCCTGGGTGTTCAGGGCTCCTTTTTAAAGCTCTCTGCATCAGCTGACTGCAAGGCAGAATTACAGTAGTTGGCTTCTAAAATGATTTCAACAGTTTATGTCTGGCCTGTCTCCCAAGCAAGAGGCTGATCTTTTTAAAGAGTTCTGCCTTGTGAGCATTACAGGCCGGGTGTGTTTCAGCTCGAGGAGCCCTTTAGATTTGTAGTGCCCCAATGAGCTGTATGCTCAGAGGGGCTGTGCCTGGGCTGGACACTGCAGGGTGGGCTGGGAGACACCAGGGATGGCTTTCTGCCACCAGTTTGCTCTCTTGATCCACAAACTGCTGTAAATGGCACCAATTTGTCCTGCCTGGCTCCTTCCGTCCTTATGTTATTAGCAATCTTTAGCCACACCTCCAACCAAGCGCCAGAGGGGAAGGTGTTGGTGTAACCTGGGTAAAGAACTACAACAGGTTTCTTAAAGGGGTTAGTCCTCAGCTGGTCATCCATTAATGACCTTCAGGGCCAGGATCTGCTACTCCATTACATCATACCTGGAATGGGATCACTGACACAGAGGTACCATGAGGATGGGTGAGTTGTAAGGAAAGAGAAAACGTTTCCTGTTATGCCACTGAAGTTTTCTCTTGCTTTTCTGCAGGCACCGCCTAGGACCCTTAGACCTCGCTTCAGGAAGAAAAGTACCTCGTCCTCTGCCACTGAAACAATGTGAGTGCAATGAGCCAATAGCACCAAGATCCACAGAATGTCTCTCTTCTGCCTTAAAGAGCTACTCGTTAATCATGTAGGAAACAGCAGTGGGATGGATGTGCTTTGATGTACAGCATTGTAGACATGGCCTTTCTCTCTCCTCTCTCTGTATCCTCTGTTACACGCTTCTCGCGTTTGTCCATGGTGTGGGTAGCACAGTCGGGCAGACACCTGCAGGTTAAGAGTCCTTGTTTTGTTTGCAGAGTGTACACCCACTCGTGCTAATCCTGTACGGCTGTACATTTACAATTCTCATTTGTGTCTGCATAGCTCTAGCTCTGTGAATGCACAGCAGAAACAAAAATAATCATGTTGATACATTGACAGTGTATTTATTTATGGCTTTATCATTAATGATGTGGTTTTGCAGAAGCCATGGATTTCTCTTTCCTCCCTTCCTCTTCAAGACTCTGAATGATGTAACAAATGTCAGAGTACTTTGTACAAAATGTCTAAGATTCATTAGCAAAAGCTGACCTGCAACTCTGTTTCACTCTCTGCAAGTAAATCAAGTGTTCTGAGAAAATCATTGTGCCAAAAATCGTAGAGGCAGAACCACTTACAGAGGACGAGGAAGAGACGTGCAAGAGAAAGTGAATGGTTTCAACATTGTAATGAAGGGGGAGTCTTAATTTTGATCAGCCTGAGCCAGGAGAGTATTGTGTGGAAAACGATGGCAGCTAGAAGAACTAGGTAGTATTGCTTGTGGCAAATGTTCTACTGCCAGTTTTAAAGTGTGAGCAAGCCAGGCTTGTACTAGCCACAGCGACAGAAGTTAGAATCACTTTCGTGATGCACTTCCAGGGGAAAATGCACCTTTCTTCCCTGCCTGCATCAGTGTCAGCCCCAGTGCTCTGCTCTCCTGGTGAGGTGCTGCTGCTCTACTTGCACGAGCAGAGCAGGGCTCTGGGCCTGAGCTGCTTTTCGGAGCCTGGAGTTTTGCCTGTAGCATGGGGTTTGGTTAGAACCACAAGAACCAGACGCAGTGGTGTATTTGTATCCATATATAAATGAGAAATATAAAAGAAGGGGAAGATGTGGTAGGGTTTGTGTATTTGTGCTTCAAGTTGGTGTCTCTTGTAAGTGTAGAGCATGTGAGATTCACACGTAAGTTAATTACGTAGCCCTTTGTGTTTGCTCTTGGACCTCTCACATAGACTAGAAAAACATTAGCATTATGTAGAGCGTGCCATCACTATTGGATCAGTGCAGGGGCTTGGTGATGAACAGTGCTGTTAATCTAGTTCAGGTGCAGCAGTCCAGGATGCCAACAGCCGGCTGGAGTGTATCAGGCTCAAAGATAAATCTAAAGTGGCCTTTAAAACCTTTTCTCTGCCACGTATGCGTTGATATCCCAGCTGTCCCTGCCTGATGGATCCCTGAGGTTTCCCCCAGAGCTTCCTACATGTATGGGGAAGAGAGAAAAAAATTATGCACACGCACAAATGTTTATCTGACCTGGCTAGGAAGTGGAAGAGGCAAGCAGGAATTTCCTGTCCCTGCCACAATATTTGGCCTCATTACCTGAGAATTTAATTTCCTTTACATGTGCTAATTCAATCATATTTTGCAATGGGTAAGAAGGAAAAAGTCTTCAGAAAGTAAACTGAAAAAACCAACAAACCTGTCTATATAGCAGTTACAGAAGAGTCAGTCCTTGGAAGATACTCAGCAAAAGCTTTGAGGAGCTAAGCTTGTGTGTTTTATTTTTAAGCAGCTTTAGAGTTTATTTGGTTTCCTTTGGCGAACGTTAAAAAGAAATAGCAAACCTGCCTGCAGTGTTAGCAGAAAATAAAATGATGTTGCAAGCAAGCTATATTTCCCTGATATGCAATGGGCTGCCATAAAATAAAAAAGAAGCTGACAAGTTTGCACTCAAGTATGCCAAAAAAACCAACAACATAGAGCTACATAACATCTGATAAATTCTATTCTCAGACATGTTGTATTAACATCGATTCTCACTAAAATTATTAAATGTGCGTCTAATCTGCTGTTTTACTGTAAACTTGACTGTTTAGCATTTCTTAAGTGCTGAGGTGAAATTGTTGACAAGGGAGTTGCCTTATATCTCTCAAAACATTCACTGTATAAATGAGAAAAATAAACCTTTTCATATCTCTGGCAAAAATGTATTATCAACTGAGCTGTATATTTGTGTATAGATAGACAAGAAATGTGAATGCCTAACCACGTACACTTAGTGCTGTAGTGTTCTGTGTACAGAAGAGAACGGTCGTTTGCTTTTGATTCCTCATTTTCCACACACAGGTTGTTTACAGGTGTTGCTCCAAGTCTGTCATGTCATTCTTTGGCTACTCGCGTTCGTTCTGAATAAACACCAGACACGACGTCTTTTGTTCCAGTTTTTCTCTTGAGCTTCTACCAAGGAACAAGCCCGATTCAGGGGGTCCCTTTCCTGCGCTGCTGCTGACCCCTCCTGGCAAACCAGAGTTTGCACGATTTGAGCAAGGGGAGGACGCACGGATGGCGGCTGCTTCGGTGTGTGTTGGTGGGGAGCAGTTCTCTGCTTCCTCCCAGCTCAGGCTCCGAGGGTGCAAGCGGGCTAACCACTTGCAGATTATTCCTCCTAAAAGCGAGCAATCTTTCAGCTGATGGTTTAAAATAGCAACAGATCTGGCTTATGTGAGAAAAGCCCAGTTTTGGGGCCTTTCAGGCAGCTGGCCTCCACAGTCAGGCTGGTTAGGGCAGGCAGGCACCTCCAGGCTTCTCAGAGCTGGCCTGGAGAGCATAACCCTGCGAGGAACAGGCCAGCCCGAGGAAATACTGCCTTTACCCAGCACAAGGCTCACGTGACACTGGCATTATTTCGAGCAAGTAAAAGTGAAGCTGAAGGGAACTGCAGCTGGAGATGGCCCACGGGAAACGGGCCTGCGAATTACCTTACCCATTTAGCATAAATTCACCTCAGATAGGAGGAGGACAAGCTTCGAGCAGCTCAGTGCAGTCCCCCGTGCCTCCACTCTTGTAGGGGCGTCAGCGCAGTTACAGCAGTCGCCAGTCGCTGGATCAGGATCACATCACATATAGACGAGACAGACGTCGTGTGGATCACTGCCACCTTGGAATTAATCCCACGCTAATCTAAATCGTGTGAGTGCAAACCCAGCACAGAAGGAAAGGAGAATCGGGCTGTTTATCCCTATTAAGAGGGAGAAAGCTGCTTGGAGAGCTACGATGCTCCCTAGCCTCACGTAAACAACCTGCTGCCTCCGGCTGCTCTCTGAAGTGTTCTCATGTAGTGACGAAACCCTCGTGCTCGTGACCGAATGCTCGTTAATCACAGTCTCCTTTTTGCTGTTGGTTTCGGGTACCCGTTTTGCATCTAGCACCATATCTGAAATAGCCAAGCACACTACATTGGGATTTGCATTTAGACAAACTAGTTAAGGATCATAATTGTGCACTTCCTGTGATTTCTTTCCTGTGATTGGTAGAAAAGATCTGTGATGAAATGGTACACTTAATGCCTCACAAGGGTGGCCATTACAACAGTATTCCAAAGGTTGATGTTTTGCTAGTTTTGTTATACTGCTTGATATACATCTTGAATAAAGTCTTAATCTTTTCTTTAAAAAAAAAAAAAAAAAGGAAAAAGAAAAAAAAAAAAAACATCTTTAGTCTGTTCAATGTATCTGGCAGGCCAGAATAATTACTTTGATTGCTGTATTATTTTTATCTCAATTCTGGCTGACTGTATATAGATGTATTCACTAAGTGCTGCATGTCCTTCAGAACTTCTTTCTGTATTATGAACTGGAAAAAAAATACAGCTACTGAACACTCTGAGTAACTAGTGAATTCATTGAAACGTTACAGCCTTGTGTGGCAAGCCATCTCTAGCTATACAGGTGGCTCTGGAGCCGATAATCACAGAGTAACTGCTTAATAATGGGTTAATTATTTGAAGCAACTGCTTTTCATACACTTGCCAGAGTATCTGCTTTGTAGAGAAAAACCTCTGATCTAGCCCTTAGTGAAACCAGAGACACTGTACACTCCACAAGGACCCAGTGATAGATCCTTGGTTTTGTTCCATATATGTATGATCACAGATAGGCAACGTGGGGTATAATTAGGCTCAAAGCATAATTAGAACTGACTGCTTGAGCATGTAGTGTAGGACCCAAAGAACATAATCTACTATTCAAAAACCAACAGGGGACACAAAATATCAATCTTGTAATGAAATCCAGTGGCTAATACATTTTAAAATCAGTTATAAGAATTGCATGTAGCCATGAAACACTGGGTTTTTTCTATGTTTATTAGCATGGAGACACGGTAACAGTTTATGTGGTATCGTGACAGGCAACGCTACCGAGACAGACCCTTCTCCTCTTCCCCACGGAAAACTCCATTCACTGAGCTACCTCTAAGTGATGGACACAGCAAAATAGATGCTGGGGTTATTTAAACATGTTTATTTGAAACATTTTAAGATGAATTACGTTCAATTATTCACTTTTAGTGATGTTTTGACTGTATTCATCCATGTTACACACAGCCACAGGAAACCAACGTACAGGTGAACAGCTTGACCTCCGCTAAGTAAAATACAACTGCAGCTCAAGATAACCTTGAATATTACTTTATTTTGGGCACTGATACCCATAATTCTGATCAGATGATATGCGTATGTTTATTTAGAAAAGTAACAGGTATTACAGATTTATGTTCTGAAATTAAGACCATACCACATGTTTCCCACCTCTTCCCTAGGGAGATGCAAAAATGAAACCAAGATTTCTACAAACGAAGATTTGTGCGATCGTGATACTTCTGGTAGGGATCATCCACATACCAATTTCTTCTTTTCCAGAAAGAAGTGGTCATTTTATCAAGGAGTTTACATTGCGTTCTGGTGCACAACACCATCTCTCTCAAACGCTTCCTCTGGGCAGCTGATTTCTTCCACAGTTTCTTCTTATAACCAGACTGTCAGAAGAAAATACAGAAAAGACCTTCGAGTGGGTCGCTGCAAATACACATATACAGCAATATCGATAAGCAAATCACGACAAATTCCCTACCATCAGGAAGGCAGGAGTCTTTCTACAGAGCTTTTTTTAACTTCCATACTAGCTACTGCCCTCTAACGGAAGAAAAACAATTAGCCCACTGACAGTAAAAAACGCGCTTATGTTATCAGAAAATTCTTACCTTTCTCCTAACCCAAAGGCCATTGTGCAGCCGCAGAAACCTATCGAGGACAGCTTTCACACTTTTCCTCTTTCCCTTCCGTAAGCTACAGTAGGTGAGAGTCCTCACTGGCTGTTGAAGTATATTTGGAAGTAGAGATGTGACACTAAAAAACACCCCCAAAGCAGGGAAAAAAATAGAACAGGAACAAAGCACCTTTTTGTAAAAGTAATCACTGGGGTTTTCACAGAAATTGGAAGTAGCTATGAGTTGTCCGAAGGTTAACAAGAACTCATCTGTCATTACAGCACACCACTTAATGAGTGTCTGCATGAATGCTAACTACGGTGCTGAACTCAAGCCAAAATCCATCTCTAAGTCACCATCCCACACAGAACAGCTTATTTCATCTACTAAAAGCGGTTAAACACTCGAACAAACACTCAAATATTACTGGCATTCAGAAATTACTTTTAGAATATTAATCATCAGCAAGAGAAACAATGCCGATTATAACAAGGCTATTTGTAAAGCGATGTATATTCCGTTTTGCATCCTGCTTCAAGCATCATGCTTAAAAGAAGTGGGAGACTCAGGGCTGAAATAAAGACCCGTTTGCTAGAGTAAAAAGAAGATCCTCAGACAAATAGGCTTATTTAAACCTTTTCCTAAGCTTTCCCTCCCAGAAGCACCGCGCAGACCGTACCTGCTGAGGACCGAGGGGGTGCCTCCCCCGGGCAGGCTCCCCCCGTGCAGCCGCGGTTTCCACAGCGGGGCCGCCACTGGTACCGGCCCCTGCGTGAAGCAGCGGGCGGCGAGGCCGGAGAGGGCGCGCCCGGCGCCGGCCCAGGGGACCCAGCGCCCCAGGATCCCTGCGGAGAGCCAGACCCTCAGGAAACGCCCCGCAACACCGCCCCGCGCCGCCATTTCACAGCCAGCACCCCCCTCGCCTCCCGCCTTCCCCGGCGCCGACCCGACATGGCCGCCCGCCTCCCCTCAGCCGCCGCGCGCCACCGACCCGCCACAGCCCCGCGCGCCACCACCGCCGCCATTAGGATTGCTGGGAGTGGGGGGGGGTAATGTCCCTTTCTGCGCATGCGCCATCGGCGCGGCCTCGCACTGCCGGCGCTGGCGGCGGCGGAGGGATTGTGGTATTTGCATACGACCCTTCTGATTGGACGCGCTGCCCGCCACTCCCCGTGGGGAAGCGAGCACGCCCCTGGCGGAACGGAAGGCTACGGGGCCGTCGCGCATGCGCGCCGCGCTTTACTCGCGGTGTGTGGGGAGGCGAAGGGGGGGGTGGAGCCGTTACCGCGCACGGCGCCTTCCCGCAGCCTGCCCCCAGCTCCGTGGCTATGCTGCGGGCGTGTCACCGAGCGGGGGCCGCCGTGGCCGCGCAGGTGAGTAGGGCGCAGCCCGCGGGAGAGCCCTGTTTGCCCCTCCGGCCGGTGAAAGCCTGGCCGCACCCGCCCATCACGGGGCCCGAGCCGGGCTGGGCCTGCCGGCGGGGGTGACACGAAGGGGGGGGGGGGGGGGGGGGGGGGAAACGAGGCGCGGCGCGTCCTCAAACCGCGGCTCAGTCTTCTCTGAATGACTTCGGCAGCGCGGCCCACGATTGGTCGCCCGGCTGTTGAGGGGCGGCCGCGGTCGCCAACAGGGCGGCGGGGCGGGCGGGAGCTGGGAGAGGGCACGGCGGGTGCACTACAAGTCCCGGCGTGCCTTGTGGGCGGTGGCGCCCCCTTCGCCCCGCTGCCTGCTGCCGCGCGGCACGCCGGTACTTGTAGTCTGGCGTCGGGCGCGCCGCGCGGCCTGTCGGAGGTTGTAGTCCCCTCGGCCGGTCATTACCGGCGCCGGGCCCGCCGCCGCCGCCTCTCCCGCCCGTCCCGGCCTCGGGGCAGCGCCGGCCAGCAGTCCGGAGGGGCGGCGGGGCTCGGCGGCGGCACAACGGGCCGGCCGGCTTCCTGGATGGTGGGGCTGCCGAGCCCGGTCACCGGCGGGGAAGGACGTGACCTTGCCTTCCCCGCCGCGGCCTCAATGCCCTTTCCCCGTTTTGACCCCCGGTGGGTCCGGCCTCCTGCCCGTGTCTAAGGACCCGGCGCTCAGAGTGATGAGTAGCGGTAGCTTTCAGCTCTGAGGGGGCCCGTAGTCCCGAGGGGCTGTAACGGGGACCAATCAGTCCTCACGGTCAGACGTGAATAGGAGAATAGGCGATGCCAGGGGGGAGAGTGCCCGTTGGACATGTTTTCTGGACATTTGCCCTTCCTCATCAGCAGAGATTAACATATTAATATGCTACGGAGCCTTTTTAAAGTAGATGGCCAAGTTTAAAAAGCTACAAGGGTTTAAGGGTGAGGGTAAGGCCCCAACTTGTATTTCAGGTGTCTGCTTAACAGTAATTTAATTTAGTCTTATTAGATCACTTTTATATTCCCCTCTACATTCCAGTGGTCATTACTCTGTATTCATACATTCATAATAAGTCAGCAAAGAAAAAGCTGTGCATTCAGTCCCTGTGGGCTCTGTAGCTGAAAGATGCCCGCTTTAAAGCTCATAATTCCATGCCACAGCTGGCATTTCCTCTGCTGCTTTATAAGGCCAGTGAGTTCTCTGGGCCAGGTCATCCGATGCCCACTAAAATAAGGCTCTGGGTTTGTAGACCTGGGCAGAGTTTCAGCTGGGAGTTGAGTAGACAGAAAACAGGCTTTTGCAGATGTTTATCACTTAGGGCTATTTGCATCTATTCAGTCTTCACAAGAATGTGTCTAGAATGACTGTACAGCACTGGAAAAACCAGTGTTATGGTTTGTACCTCTGAAGTGTGTCTTTGGTCTAGAAACATTCAGTGCAGGAATCATGCAAACAGAGGTGCCACAGCGCTCGGTGAAGTTTGTTGTCTGTATCTTTGCTGTTTGTTTCCTTACTTCAAAAAACATTTTTTTTTTTTTTTTTCATTTATGTCTACTTGCTCTTCCTAATGAGATCAAATACAACAGAGACTTTGGACAGCAAAAGTGGGTATGCAATGAAATAGTTTTTTAATATGTTTTGCTGCTTCTTATTCATATTGAGGGGAAGCTTTGTGGCATACTGGAGTGTACATATGACGACAGTTGCTGGTCTCATGGACTTTCTGCAACTAAAGGTTGGTTCTTCTTGGGTGGCAAAAGAGCCAGAAACTTAAAGAAGCAAATTTTTTAATTATAGTGCTTGTTTTGCAAGAAGTGCAGAATTGCAGACTCTAATCAAGAAGTGCTGACCTGATCTGAGATGACAGCAGGTAATTTTTCCACAAGTGTCACAGCAGTAACACCTTTGGGCTGTTACGAGGTTGTCACACAGATGCTGATGTCGGGCCTGGAAGGGACACCAGCAAGGTGACACCAGGATGCTCCAGCCAGTCGTGCTGCTCGTTGCCTCGCTGACCACCTCCCCCTGCCTGGGGGAGCGCACTCAACAGGCACATTCTTGCAGAGCAGCAGCACTGGTTTATTCTCTGCTCCAGCAGCGGTGATCCCCAGGCAGCCACAATTACACAGGTTTTATGTCTTCTTATCCATCTTCAATTTTCTTGTCTTTACTACCCCTTCAGCCCTCTCATCCCTCTTTTTTTGACATGAGACGCGTGTCTCATGTCACGTTTAGGAGTTTCTCTCACCTTGTTCAGTTACCTAAAGCTCAGGCCAGAGCCTTGGTGTCTGCCTGCAGACCTGATGGTGGCATAATTAAAGAGAGTGACAGCACCTTGCTGTTCAGCTAGTGAAACTTGATTGTTTGGCTTTGATACAGCCCCAAGAGAGACATGTATATTTTTTTTAAATATTAGGAGTAGCAAGTTGTAACAATAATTGTAAAAAAAATGGAAATAAACCCTTTTTACATTTATGTTATATGGAAGGTGGTAGTGAGGCAAGTCTGCTTCTGTTTTGTGATGTTAAGATACTCCTTTGCAGGTTAAAAAATCCAGTTGTTGAAGGAGAGCTGGACCTGGTAAGGACTGTGGGGTAACGAGTCTTTGGTGATGCTCGGTTGCTTGAGCAGTCCAAGAGAGCTGGGGGGCAGAGCGTGGCTGGATGGGGATAGCAAAGCAACTGCTGCTCCCCAAAGCCAGAGCAGCATGAAGGTTTAAGTATGGAAAATCCCAGTAATACTCGTGGTGGAGACTGGGAACAATTTTATTCTTCTCTCTTACTGTGAGCTCTGTGCATGGAGGATCACTAAGCTTGTTAACAAGTAAAATGAAGTTGTGGCTTTGAGAGAAGTGGGTCTTAATCACAGCAATCTCATAAATGATTTCAGCTACATGTGCAGTGCTGCAGAGAGACTCTTCCCTTATTTGGAGTATTTCTGTAGTTTTATTTGAAAAGAAACAGAGGGCTGCTTGTAAAAAGCAATATCTGGCAGAAGTCTTGAATGATGGGAAATTAATTTGAGTTCTGTGGTCAGGTATCCTTGCTACACCTAACCTGTATCATAAAAAAGACAAAATTCCTCTGAAGTTTCTGATTTGCTCTTTCTGTTTAAGTACACAAATCCCATGTTGTAGAAAACTGTACATGTTCCTCAAGCTTCATTCTGTGCAAATTCTGAGTCTGGATGCTTGAGCCTGGTGACTAGGAGAGATGTAGCTGGGACTGCATGAATGCAGGGGATGGCATGTCCTGTGTCTGGTTATTTAAAATTACCTGTGAGGTATAAGCCTGCAAAGCAGATTTTAAATTTTTTTTATGATCTAATGATGCTGTACCTGTCCCGAGCGCTTTGCCACGGCGAGCTCCTGTGCATAGCATCAAATGCCAGATTCACCAGGGCTCTTAATGTTAACCAGAGTGAAGGTACAATGTGCCCTGCAAAGTGATTCTTGTGGTTCTCTGAATATAAAATAATAAGCATTTAAGAAGTTAGCTGAAACAAATAGCATGTAGAAGTGCTGGAGGAGGAAATAGCAACAGCTGCCCTGCAGTGCCCTGGCTATGGGCAACCATGCTGTCTGTGTGATGCCTTATCCAAAGGGTTTTCTCTTTCTGCTCTTCTGCAGGACAGCAAGTGGTTTATTTCTGCCTTTTGCAGAACATAGGGACTCACATGTGATTATTTCTTCCAAATCCTTCCAAATCCATTATTGTAAACAAATAACAGAGGTCTAAAAAATTACAAACTCCTGGAAATTATACAAAGGGGAGATGAGAAATTACCTGTAAATTTCCAAATTATGGTGATATAGCAAATGTAAGCGTGATTATTATGAAGTCTGAAAGAGAGCAATGCTTCTTTAAAGAAAATGTTTATTAAAACAATCAGTGATACTTGGATGCGAGGGTGGAAAATTAGACTTGGACTTATTGGTCCCTGAAGATTTTTGGTTGTTCCCCTGGGCAGCTATGGGAATTTCTGTTTGTTGCACCATCTTGAAAGAATGAGTTGGTGGGGACTTGTGTTGGGCTTAGGTTATCGCTCCCACTGCTACGTGTACACTAGTGTGAGAGTCTGACAGAGTAGGCTGAGCACCTGCATTCTGGTTTCTCTCATTTTGATGAACGATGAATAAAAATGAGGATTTGGCTAATCATAGAACAGCCCTGCATGGAAGGGACCTCAAGAGATCATCTGATCCAAAGAGCAAAATGAGGATTTGGCTAATCATAGAACAGCCCTGCATGGAAGGGACCTCAAGAGATCATCTGATCCAAAGAGCATCTGGACTAAAAACAATAACCCCACCAAACAAACCCTTCCTGGTGTACAGAACTTAAACACTGCACGGCAAGAAGCAAGTTTTCCCTTTGCCCTGCTAGCTCCCTAAGTGCAGGAGCAGATGTGTTTACTGAAGGTGGGAGAACTAAATGGATGAGGTGTTGATTGGCATCGCTGGGTGTGAGTAGGGGCTGTAGCCAATATGAAAATGGATGAACTGGGTCAGGTACCAAGGTTACAGTTGTGGCAGCCTCCAGGATCAAGGCAAGTCCAGCCTGAGCCATGGTGCGGGGTACGATAACTTTCAGAAAGCCTGATGTGGGGCTTGAGAGTGCCAGCTTATGTCCAGGTGAGCATTAGGCAAAATAATGTAAACCCAGAGTGCTGAAAGGGACTGAAGTTGAATGGATCAACAGAAAATAATTTCCCCCC